TGCCCTCTCCCCCAAGTGTGCCCTGTCCTCCCAGCACCCTGCCCTCTCCCCCAAGTGTGCCCTGTCCTCCCAGCACCTTGCCCTCTCCCCGAAGTGTGCAGGTGCAGCTGTCCTCCCAGTACCCTGCCCCCTCATGTGTGCGGCTGTCCTCGCAGCACATTCTTCAGTGGATCAAAGAATGTTTTCTTTTCAAAGGCAACATCATTCTTCCAGCTGTTTCCCCTTTGGCCAGTACCGAGTTCAAGGGGCAAGATGACAGACATTTTCTGGGAACTGCCCAAAATATGTTTTCTGACACATTTGGTTCTAAAACAATAAAAAGCATCCATTTTAAATGTCCTAAATTTTTGCCTGCCTGTTTTATAGTTACCCTGTGTTTTAAGGAAAAATATATGGTGAGAGAAGACCAAAAGAGGCAGACACAAGAAATAATAAGCAATATACTGTGCTCATTTTCTCACAAGGGATTCAAATAAAAGTATTGGAACTCTTAGAAGACTAGGAAGGCACTAATAAAGCTGGTATTTTTATTCAAGTGTAGTGTGTCATCTTGCACCTTAGATTATACATTCCCTCAAAACAGCATAAATGTGAAGACATTCATTACTATATATATATATATGTATGTATGTATATATATATATATTTTTTTTCCTTCTAATTTTTTTTTTTGGGTCCGGTAGTGGGGCCTGAACTCTGGGCCTGGGTGCTGTCCCTCAGCTCTTCAGCTCAAGGCTAGCGCTCTACCACTTGAGCCACAGCGCCACCTCCGGATTTTTTTCTTTTTGCTTATGTGGTGCTGAGGAATTGAACCCAGGGCCTCAGGCATGCAAGGCAAGCACTCTACCACTGAGCCAACTTTCCAGCCCCTCCTTCTAATTTTGAACAGTTCCAAACAAGCTTACTGCCTAACAATAGGGGAGTGGTTAAGTAAATTTGTACACTTGTCACTCATCCTTTTCCCCACTGTCCTAACAGGAACCCTTCTGCTTACTTTTTCCTCTGCATCAGGAATGAGTCCTCCCTTCCTACAAAAAAGGCAGCCCAAAAGAGGACTGGGTTGTGCAAATCATGAGTGTGAGGATCCCAGAGGCAAAGCTGTGGCTTCAGTTTCTTTTTATTTTTTTTTAGTCAGTCGTGGGGCCTGAACTCTGGGCCTGGGCACTGTCTCTCAGCTCTTCAGCTCAGGCTAGTGCTCTACCACTTGAGCCATAGCACAACTTCTGGCTTTTTCTATTTATGTGGTGCTGAGGAATCGAACCCAGGGCCCCATGCATGCAAGGCAAGCACTCCACCACTGAGCCACCTTCCAGCCCCCTGTTTGTTTCAGAGCTTAAAATGGGATTCAGGATGCTTGGGTCTTGAATGTATTACTGGACACAGGCTACCCATAGTCTGTAAAAGGGTCTTTGGACTCATATTCTTATCCTCCAATATAACTGTTTTGTTGTTTTTTAAAATCTAAACCTGATTGCCATCAGTTCTGACTATAACTTCCAAAAGCTTCTCTGGTATAAGACCAACTGTTTCCTAGGGTTCTCCATAATCCCGGTCAATCCCATAGCCTCTATTCTCCAGATAAAAGGCCATTTTCCTTCCTGTTTAATAGCCCTCCTATGTGTCCGTTTTTGTGGATAACCTCTTTTATTTATTTTTTATTTTTTTTTGGGTCCGGTTGTGGGGCCTGAACTCTGGGCCTGGGTGCTGTCCCTCAGTTCTTCAGCTGAAGGCTAGCGCTCTACCACTTGAGCCACAGCACCACTTCCGGCTTTTCTTTTTTTGCTTATGTGGTGCTGAGGAATTGAACCCAAGGCCTCATGCATGCAAAGCAAGCACTCTACCACTGGCCCACCTTCCCAGCCCCTGGATAGCCTCTTTTTGCCCTACCCTTTCCTTGGCTGTTATTCAACTTCTGGGTCTCAGATATAACTATTTCCTCAAAGAAGCCTTCGGTGACCCCCATTCTCAATGTGCTTCTATGCACTCTTTCACAGTACTTGTTTAAATATTTACAAAATTAGGTAATGATAATCTCAACATGAACATGTTCATTACTGTTAACTCTAATGAAGCATTTCTTCACTAAGCATATTCTTAAGATAACCCTCCTAACAAGAAAATGTCAATTTATAGACAGAGGCAACTGTTGAGCCAAACTTTTTTTTGTTGTTGTTGTTGGTTGTGGGACCTGAACTCTATGCGTGGGTTGCTGTCCCTGATTTCTTCAGCTCAAGGCAAGCACTCTACCACTTGAGCCACTTCTGGTTTTTTCTGATTATGTGGTGCTAAGGAATTGAATCCAGGGCCTCATGCATGCAAGGCAAGCACTCTACCACCGAGCCACATTCCCAACCCAAACCAAACTTTTAAGGACTCTATTTAATCTTCCCAAGACATATTCTGAATCAAGATATGAAATCATAGCTTGAGTTTACTTTTTTTGGTGCCAGTACTGGGGCTTGAACTCAGGGCCTGGGCACTACCTCTTAGTTTTTTTGCTCAAGGCTAGTGAGACACAATTCCACTTCTGGCTTTTGCTGATTAACTGGAGACCAAAGCCTTACAGATTTTTCTACCCAGGCTGGCTTCAAATGGTGATCCTTAGATATCAGTCTCCTGAGTAGCTAGGATTACAGTAGCTAGGATTACAGGTGTGAGCAACGGGCACCCAGCTAAACTTACTTTTTTACAGAAAGACAATGAGCAGTGCCTAGGTAAAATGGAATGAGAACTCCACTCATGCCCAGGGAAGTAGTGGTTACTAGGAGGGAATCCTGGGATGTGAAAACGATACATTAGTCAATATAGCAAGAGCAAATTAAGAGACCTGCATCTGGATCCTGGCTCAGCCTCTTTTGGCAGAGGTATTTCACTTTTGTCTCAGGTTCCTCATCAACAGAGGGTTAAAAAAAGATCTTTATAGTTATTGCTAGAATTAAATGAGATAATGGGTGTAAAGAGTACAAGGCACAATGCCTGGCATGTAGGAACACAATAAATGTCATCAGTTCTCAGAGTGTTAACTCTTAAGTGGCCCCTCTCCGGCCCACATGTAAGGGAACTACCTGCTATGGCCTAATGCTTGCTTTCCAGGAGTCAAATCTTGGCCATTCTGTAACTGTGCACATTTTGCATTAAGGCAGAAAAGCACTCCACCAAATATCTCACACTTCATTTAATTTGAAGAATATTACAGGCTGTCTTCTGATATAAGTTATTTATAACGTTACAGACCAAGCAGCAAATTCAATTTAAAAACTAAGGAGGTCTACAAGGTGTTAATTTCTGGCAACAGTCTTCTCAATCTGTTTTTACTTTTTTTTTTTTAAGTCTCCCTTGCCCTCACTTCAGTAGACGTGCACCATGCCATAGAGGAACGTCCAGAACAGGACGTAGGTGAAGAGGCCACCGATAAGGCCTCCTGTGAAGAGAGGTCTACGTGATTTAAAGTATTTGTTCCACCTCCTTCCCGCCTTGAGAATCAGGAGCAGGGAGAGCAGGATGGAGGCGAGCAGGTAGAAGATGAAGCCGTAGAGCCCGGTGAGGCCGAGGATGCCGGCGGTGGCTCCCGACAGCGCTGACACTGAGGTCCGGCAGTAATCCAGGACGGCGGCGTTGCCCCGCACTGCGGCCTCACTGATGAACGGCGGCCCTTCTCGCTTGGCCACCACCGCGGCCATCGCGCCCGCCGGAGCTCAGGCTTCGCTTCCACGAGGAGCAACGCAGAGCTGCAAAGAAAACCAAGTGACCCTGATGCCGGGACTGGGAGCGCGAAGCGCACGCCGCTCCTCCCGGGCTCCCTTCAAAGCCGCTGGGAAAGCCCAAGGCTAGGGCTGGCCGGGCCTGGCAGCACGTCTGCCTTCCTCGGCCACGTTTTCCCAGTTACCTGGAATACGGAGGCGGACAGACAGCCTGACGTTCCCTCAGATAGGCAGGGATACAGACTCCCGCGGCGACATCTTGTTCTGGGGGCTGCTGGGAAGACAAGCTGCGCGTGCGCACACCTCGGTCCTGCCCCCTGGCGTCTGCGCAGTGGGCACCTCCCAGCCGCTCCCCTTAGCACTGGGCTCGCCTTTGGATTTCCGAAGGCTGACACCGCTCCGGCCCCTGATTGGCTGGAGCCTCACGAGGGGGCGGGCTCAGTCCAGCTGCCTTTGTTAGCCCGGGCGGGCGCGGCCCTGGCTGTTCTCGGGCCGGGCTTCCCGGAGTGGCGTTCGGTTCCCGGGTTGGGGTCGAGATGTCCTACATCCCCGGCCAGCCGGTCACCGCCGTGGTGGTGAGTGCGCCCGCGCGGGCTCCTCCTCGTCTTGGCTGCCCCGTTGTGCAGGGCGGTAAACTGACGTCCTAGCAGACTGACAGAGCCTTGGGAGTGAGGCTCCTGTGTAAGAACCGGGCCCGGAGCTCGGCGCCCCGCCCGGCCGGAGCAGCTATGCAGCCTCTTCCAGCCGCGGAACCGATGGGTGGGATCCGAGGCCAGCCCCTTGGCACTGCTGTCGCCGGCGGGCTCTCTGGTGGCTGAGGCGGGCGGAGGAAGGAAAAGGACCTCGGTGGTCAGATTCCGAGGCAGCTTCCCGGTCCGGGGTCTCGGTCCCCAGCCGGCAGCCACGGGGGGCGGTGCTGAGTCTCGGCCGCTGGAATGAGGAAGCGCTTCCTGCGCCTGGGCCCCGCGGCGCCACCGCCCGGCGGGGGAGGGGTGGGGGGCGGGGGCGGGGGCGGCCCGCGCGGGGTGGCTCTAGCGGCCTCTTCCTCCCCTTCCCCTTGGACCCTGCTCCGTGGACCCACCCATGGCCAGTCCCAGAATACTCTTACGACCGTTTCCATCCTTCTCCGAACTTTTTCTGGATCCCCAGTCCTCCGGACAAAGTTCAGGTTCCATGCCTGACACTTGAAACACGGGGAGACCCTTGAGGTCAGCTCAGGTTTGCTTCGTTCTTCGGTGCTCTTTGAATTAGGCAAAGAGGAGAAGGGAGACTTAGGCAACTAGGTATGGATGCCAAAGTCACAGAAGGTGCCTTGAAGGCCAATCCCATGGCAGGGGTGTGTGAACTGAGTCCCAGAGAGAAAGCTGTTCATGCCCAGCCATAGAACCTTAGGAAGGACCTGGGTTACCTACTCAGCAGTCCAGAGGCTTTAGACAATGGGGGAGGAAAATGCCTGTCTGGCAGGCACAGGGCTAAGTGCAAGTCTCAGCCCTGTAGGGGACTGGAGGTGTGTGATGGGTGTGCCTTACCTGAGGGCTGTGGTTGTCTGGAGGGTGGGGCAAAGCAGTTACCAGTGAGGGTGAGATTAGAACACCAGCTCTGGCTGGACCAGCTGCTAAGAGTTGGACTGGAGTTTACCTTGATTGCACCAGCCTGGCTTTTCCAGATTCTTAGCTGCTGCAGGTTTGCTCCTTAGCTGGTAAAAAATGGTTTGTAAGTGAGGAGCCAGAGAGAACTTTGTTACTGTCTTTTCTTAGCAAGGCAGTGAGGGGAATCCTCTTTCCTGACCTTGGGTATGAAGGAAGGTGTATTGAAACAGGTCTGGAGTCTTGTCACTTGAATGGGCTTCAGGATGGGGCTTCTGTGCCTCCTCCCTTCGTGTCATGGCCAGTTCCAGGGTCTCCCTCAAAGCTGCAGGCCCACACAACCCTCCAATTCTAACGCCAGAAGCACGTCAGTACATTTGTGTGGGTCTGGCCTCTCTTGTGTCTTGGATAGTGGATGAGGTGGGGGTGGCTTTCTCCCCATTCCCACACTCACTTATGTGTAGTTCATCCTTGTGAATGTTACAATCGTTCTGGCTTCGCTGGACTGGCTCCATAGATTTGCCTTCTGGATAACTGTACAGTGGCTTCTGACACTCCCAACTCCACCTTCTCTGAGCATGGCAGTCAGCCAGGCTCCTCCTCGAGCAGTCCCCAAGTCTGTGGATCTTTGTTTCCAAGTAGCTCATGTCCTGTGGCTTCCACATCCCACTCATGAAACATCCATTCCTCTACTGACTATGGGAGTGGTCAGATCAAACCTGGCTGTGCCTTACCCTAATCTGACTCCTTGAACTCCACTGGGTTCAGAACCAAGATCAGGCATCACCCCCTCTCCCCCCAAGACCTGATACAAATAATCCCTCCTTTGTGAAGTCTTTTCCTGTCCTGTGTTACACTTTGAGGATAATCTGCTTTGGCTCTCAGCATCTAGTGTTTGGAAGGTGTTTGCCAAGGGCTCTGAAAGGAGACTGCATAGTTGGGGATCCTAAGTCCCAAAGCATGGTAGGAAAGCCGTAAGATACTGTCTTTTACACTGCACAAGAATTTGGCTTGAGGAGGCTCCATCTATGACCAGTCTCAGGCCAGTAGCCCATGGACTTACTCATTCAGTCTCATCTTACCTACTAGTCCTGCATCCTGTGCTGTACACTTAGGTCTCACAAACATGTACCCACAGCACCTGGGACCTGCTTCCCTTTGGCTAAGAAATCCTTTTTCTCTCTTCAGTGCTTATTTATATTCTCCACTTTTCCTGAGTACTTCCTGTTTTACCCTTTCTAGGGCTGGTTCAGCAACCTGAGCTGCCTCAGGCAAGATATGTGGCTTTTCTTAGGCTATAACCTCTCCTTCCCTGTGTGCCCTCCCTGGAAAGATGCATATCCTCTCCACAGTAGCCATAGCACCCTTGGTTCCTGGGCCTAGAGAAGCTCATTATTTGCTGACAAAACCTGGGGGAAGAGGAGGGAAAAGGTTGAATGCAGACAGCTATGCTATAGCTCCATGTGGCTAGTTTGGGTCCCAAATCTCCAGGCTCCCAGAACAGTGAACAGCTGGATACTGGCAAAGGGCCCTAGGCCTTATTACTTGGCAAAGCCTGCTGTTGCTGTGGATATAGACCAGATTCATTCTGTGCCTAGTCACCTACCTACAACTTGCTTTTTTCTTTGGCAGCAACGAGTTGAAATTCACAAGCTACGCCAAGGTGAGAACTTAATCCTTGGCTTCAGCATCGGAGGTGGGATTGACCAGGATCCCTCCCAGAATCCCTTCTCAGAAGATAAGACAGACAAGGTGAGAGGGACAGGTAGGAGGTGGTATGGCTTTCTTCCTGTGCCTACATGGAAGTAGCAGACCTCATTTGTCCTAAGGAGGTCATTCCTAAGAATGACCTTGTAGGAATAAGTGGGGGTGAATATTAGGCCTCCCAGTCTTATGAAGGCCTGCTTCAGATAGCCAGGAGGAACAGGTTAGAGCATCCTGGAAAATCTATACTTTCTCCCTGCTGTCTTGACATAAGATGTACTTGCTGAGTGGCAGGGAGAGAAGTGGTAGGGAGAGGGTGGGCAGAAGGACAGAGGGCTAGGATATACTTTGCTGGGCTCTGCCCTGTGGATTACGGGCCAGTCCTGGGACTGCAGAGCTTTACCTGGGTTGTCTCTTCCCAGGGCATTTATGTCACACGTGTATCTGAGGGAGGTCCTGCGGAAATTGCTGGGCTACAGATTGGAGACAAGATCATGCAGGTAATGGGAGTCCCAAAGAAGGAAAAAGGGCTTGTTGAAGGGTTAAAGCCCTTGGGATGGGGGAGCTAGCCCAGCCTTTCAGGGGGAGGGACTCACCAGAGCAGTTTTGGAAGCCATGCTGGTATTGATGCCCAAGGAAGCTTGTTCTATCCTGTGTGCTTGGCTCCAGTGCTGGGCACTTTCAAGGCTGAGGATAACTTGGGGTTCCGCTTGGATGGCCTGGGTTCCCCCCAAGCTGTCTGCTTTTAAGGAGTTGATGTGTTTTCTCCCTGGACCAGGTAAATGGCTGGGACATGACCATGGTGACACATGACCAGGCCCGGAAGCGGCTCACCAAGCGCTCAGAAGAAGTGGTGCGTCTGCTGGTGACAAGGCAGTCGCTGCAGAAGGCCGTGCAGCAGTCCATGTTGTCCTAGCAGCTGGCCCTGACTCATTCCTGTCTGCCTATTTGTACAGTGACCACTACCATGCTCTGCCTACTTCCTGGCTTCTGTATGCTGGGCCTCAGCTCAGAAGGGTAACAGCTGATCCCCAGGCTGAGCCAGCCTCCCTTCCCCTCTTACCCCAAGTCTGAGCCCTGGTAGCAGCAGTTTCCCTTGGACACTGAGGATTGGAAACCAGGGTCTGAAGTTGAGTGGTTGTGCATCTGCAATGACTAGATTCAGTTCTCAGCCCTGTTGCCTGCCCATAGCAGTGCCCAGGTGAACAGGAAACACCTGACAATTGCCAAAGCTAGGAAATGCCAGGTGGGGTCACTTTTTTGTTTGTTCTGGCTACAGAACTTGGCCCTGCCTTGTTACTACCACAATGTGTGCTGCATGCTTCCTGGGTACCACACTGCTCCCTACATGCCCAGCTGGGGTCTAAATTCACACAGTACCAGAGCTACTTAACCTCCTCTCCCACGGTGCTGGCCTCCGGGAAGGGGGGGGGGGGAACGTGTCTGCTTACAGGATTTAGATGAATTCCAGAGCTGACATTTTTGGGCAGCTCTCAGGATTGCCAAGTTTCTCTTCACCTGTGGGTTTAACTTTTGTATTTTTTAAATCGTAACTTTGATACAAAGTGTTTTTATCTTACCATTTGGAAAATGCCAGTTTCACTTTTGACTTTAGCTTACTAATTCACATCTGGGAGCAACTACTCTTAGCACACACAAACAAGCCTTAATTTGGTTAATGTGGAAATGGGGCAGTATGATGCTATCCCACACTTGACATCTTGTGCTCAATAAAGGATGAAATTCATGAGGGGTCTTTACTGAGCCATGAGATTAGGGAGATTTAAGGGTGGATTGGGACATTGTTTTGGTTTTTAAAGTGTCTGCTCTCTTCCTGGCCTTGAGAAAAAGCCTAAGTCTTCCCAGGATCCCCTGCATGGAATATTTGGCTGGTGTGCTACCTTTGAACTGCAGAGGAGACATGCTGTACTTGGCAAGGCTCACATCTGTTGAAACGTGGGGTGCACCTTCAGTGCAGCTGGGGTGAGGAACCTGGTATGTATTGCTTCTTGGTATCACTGAAGATTCTGAGTGCCCTCAATTTGCCTTGAATAACCTAGATTCAGCCCCTGCCCACAAAGCCTCACTGCCCCTGAGACTCAAAAACACTAAAGCACACACAACCCCAGATGTTCAAAGGGATGGGGCTGGTTAGATCCTGTTCCTACCATAAGGATACTGTCACTTCTGGCCCTGTCTAGCACTGCCAAATCAGATTTGTCAAGAAAATTTGGAAGACCTGAAATGTAGCTCAGTACAGAGTACCTGTCTAGCATGTAGGCCTTGGGTTTAAACTATAGCATCCCTCTGCTAGAACTATTTTTTAAAGTCCAGAATTTACAATCTCCCATTTTTAATAAAGTACCACATATATATTTAGGTGCTGGAGATCATACCCAGAGCCTCCATGTAGCTAAGTAAACACTACCACTAAGCCATATCCTCAGCCTTTCCCAGCTTCTTGGGATCCTCTTGCCTTAGTCTCCCACATAGTTGGGATAATAGGTATGTGACACATACCCAGCCCAACAATATTTTATAAAAGCCACTGGACTGGGCACCAGTGTTTCATGCTTATAATTCTAGCTACTCAGAAGGCTGTGCCAAGCCTGGGCAGCAAAGTCCATATGACTCTTCAAGACAGAGTAGAGCTGTGGTAGAGTGTCAGCCTGGAGTGCACAGCACCCAGATACATATGTACACACCAACCAACCACTAGGTGGCTCCAATAAAATAGGGCTGTGGGCTTGGTCTGACTGTAATCTGCGCTGGGGAAAAGGATCTGCAATTCCTTAAGTTACAACTGGATAGAGGAAAAGCCCTTCTTCCTGCCTCTGCTTTTAGTGGTGTCATGCCCATCTCTTTCAATCCCTGCTCACAGCCACAGCTTTTGACATGCTAGTGGCACAGTGATACTGGTAGACTGTACCTGTAAGACCTACCTGGGTCTGAGAGGGCAGGGACCTTCCCTGATGAATTTGGGGGTCAGAATGCAGCTACCTCTGGTCAGTGAACTCCACAGCCCTACCTGTTCCTTTACGCGAAGTGAGCAAGGCTGGTTCACTAAGCCCAATGGGCTTGGTTCTGCAGGCTGACGAAGCTTCCATATCTAGCATACTCAGTGTGCACAAAGGAAATAAGCCAAGCTTTAATTAAGGATTCGGGCTCCACCCAAATAGGACACAAAAAGCAGTTAAGGAAAAAAAAGGCACAAGTACTTGTAAAAAAAAAAAAAGATTGGCAAACTCAGGTCACACAAGGCACATTCCAGTTCCTTCCACCCCAGGGAGGGCACTAGCTGGAGAGGATAAGGAAGGAAGTGTGAGATTGGGGTTGGACCCATACCAATTGTGTGAGGTGGGTTCAGTTTCTCCATGACCAAAACACTGAAGTCTCAGGTGTCTGGGGGAAATCAAGGGAAGGGGGCCCGGCCCTCCCCTCCAAGGGAGCTGCTGTCACTACTTGGCAGGTGGGCAGGCCTCTAAGGCACAGGCTGGTGCTAAGTTAGGAGTAGTAGGGTGCTCAAACAGGGCCCCAATTCACTAGGAAAGTGAAGGCAGGGAAGAGCAAGCCATTTCTAAAACATCCCTTCTCAAACTCGGAGTTAGTGTGACAACAGACTGGTGTCTAGACAATGGCACTGGGCAGATTGCAGTTCAGAGCTTATCTGGCAGGTACCTCCGTGCTCAGGCCCTGCTCTGGGCCACCTGTTACTGCAGCTGTGGAAGCTGAGTTATGCAGGATGAGTTTCAGGAGTGTGGCCTTCCGAGAAAGGACCCTAAGGCCTAGTCCCACAGTCCTCACCCCTCCACCACCAGCATCGGCACCTTCGAGTCCATTGGCTAAAGCACCTGGCTGCTTGGTTCCTGGGACCACAACGGTGGCAGCAAAGTGCCCTTGGCTCTCCCAGCGGCATGGTCAGCCTTTCAAGCTGCTCCCAGAAACACTTGTTTGGGGCAAGGCCTTCGGCTGCAAGCTTAGTGTCCCATTCGGCCTCGTATGGCTGTCAGGATCTGTGAATGCTGCCTGAGGCCTTAAAGAAAAGAGAGGTGGTGCATCAAGATGCAGGAGGGCCAGACCCCTAGTCTGGCTCAGCTGGGACCTCTGAGGAGGCAGAGAGGGACCACCTGAGGTCTGCTTTTCAGTCTCAGAGCAGAGTCAGGTGTCCATCCCAGAAAGGGGGTGGGGGGGTCCTTTGAGGCCCAGGAGGGGCCTGGGTGAAGGCAAGGTGGTTGTGTTTAAGGCATTTGGCCTGAGGAAGAAAGTGCTTCTCCGGCATGCTGGGCCATGCCACACAGGGCCTGCACGCCAGCTGCTTCTCTGGCCTTCAGTGGGTACAGCCTTCCCCAACCAGGACCCTGGCCCTGGCTGTTTACACTGGTGGTTCTCTGAGTGCTAGTTCAGCTGGTCGTACCCCGATTTCTTTTTGTACAGAAGAAAGTGCTGGATGAAGAAGATAACATCAAAGAATATGGAGAAGATGCCAAGTCCAAATTTAGTTGGGTCTCCAAAGATCAGCGTCCACTGGTCTGTTAACAGCCGGGAGGGAAGAAACTAGTTTTAGCTGATAGTGCCCAAGGTAGCTGCAGCAACAGCAGAGGAGCCCAGTCAGCTTGGAGACCCCAACCCCATCCCATACCTCCACCCACTGGGTAGGGGCAGCTCTCAGACTGACTTACTGTTGTTGTAGGACTGCAGGAACATCTGGAGGAGGCTGAAGCTGCCTCCAATGAAGTCCAGGAACACACTGCCAATGCTCCAGCCCTCGGTGCTTTTGTAGTGAAAGTTCATGTAGGCCTAGGCAGGAGGAGGGATAGACACAAGGAGGGCTGTGAGGGGTCTGGGCCACTGCCTTACGTGTCTTGTGACTGCTACTCTAAACAAGAGCAGCTTTGAAGGCTCCCACTCAGGACTAGCACCAAAGAACACAGTGACCTTTGGGCTCTGACAAGCCTCCGTCCAGGGAACAATCTGGGTGTCTCATGGTCTAATCATCCAGGCCAAGGAAGACCTCCCTTCTACCTCTGTCCCTTCCAACTCCAATGGAGGGAGGGTTAGTGCCCTCTTTCTGGCTTCTTTCCCAGTCCCAGACAATTGCAAATGTCTCCCTTTTTGCGGTTCTGCCTTCCAGGTTCCTGGTCCCAAGCCTTCCCACATGCAGGGCCTGACACTACAGAAATCCTCACATCAGTTGGCCATCGGGCTTGAACTCTGAGCCTGGGTGGTGTTCCTGAGCTCTTCAGCTCAAGACAAGCACTCTACCTACCACTTGAGCCACAGCGCTATTTCTGGCTTTTTCTGGGTAGTTTACTGGAGGTAAGAGCCTCATGGACTTTCCTGCCTGGGCAGGCTTCAAACCACAATTCTTAGAGCTTAGCCTTCCAACATTCTTAATACTTAATTCTTAATACAGGTCTCCTGTATGTAGCCCAGCCTGGGGCACCCTTTATCATCCACTGAACTCTACTTTCCCTTAGGTTTAGCTGTGCTCCCAGCCAATGCTCTCCTTCCTGAACTTGTGAACATAAGGAACCTTCTCATAAGGAAGAAAAATTTTGTGGAAATTGTAGTGGCAGCTACATCATACAAGCTTCTTAGCCTGAGTCATTGTGGGCATGGAGACAGACTTGTGTGACTCAGTTGCAGGGCAAGAGCAGGCAGCAGCTCTCAGTGGTTTACTCTAGTGCCAGTCTAGTCTCAGTGGCATCCACTGCAGCTTTCCACTCTCCTTTCTCTGGTGAGCAGCAAGCTGTCCTATGGAAGCAGGGCCCAGGCTAGGTACCTCTCATCTCTCATGCCACCTACCAGCCACATAACAATGCAGGAAGGCCCTGGAGTACCTGTGGAATATACTTGATCAGCGTGATGGCAAGCTTGATGTAGGAGAAACAGAAGAGAAACTGCAGCCATGTGGTCACTCCAACTGCAGCCACAACCATGGTGATGAAGGCAAAGAGCCATGAGAGCACCAGGAAGCCAATGGCAGGCCATGACACACGCTGGCTGCCTCGCTGAGGATGAGATGGAGGAGGTGCTGTAGGTGGGGCACAGAAGTTGCTGCAAGGTCTAACGGGGGGATGGTGTAAGAGAGCTGGAGGCAGAAGTGTGGCCTTGACATAGCCTGAGGGAGGGGCCCTCGGCAGATCCAGAGATCTTACTCTGTCTAGATCATGGGATGAGTCAACACCTGGGCTTGGATAAGGTATAAGGTCCCCAGCACAGACTCCATTAAAAAAATACTATCAAGGTCTCCTGATCTATCCACTGTGGATTTTCTTGCTTTCACCTACTTTTGTGTTCTTACTTTGCATGGCTGAGTGTCATTCTGAGTGAGTTGAATGAGGTTAGGGTTATCGATTCGAATCTGGAGGCCTGGCACCTTGTTCCAGCCTGGGAACTGACTTGTTCCGTGGCTTGCATGAAGTCTAGAAGTCTCTGAATCCTGTATGTCAGCCTTTCTCTGACATGGTTCCAAAGTAGGCTATCTTTACTACAGTGTCATAGCAAAGATAAGACAACCTAGGAGGTCCAAGAACCTTCTTGGAAGCCATGCAACCCCACTCCTCACACAGGGTAAAAGGGATGAGGTGCACCATGGGAGAGCGAAAGCAAATCTGGCACTTCAAGAGTCCTCTGAAACACTGGGGTCTCCTAAGGATGCCTTCCCTGCTGAGATCCCACAGTCCTCCAGTAACAAGGCTGAGTCCTGGTTGCTCCTGGCCTTTTGGAAAACAGCTCCCCCATAGGTACTCAGAACCCTGGCTACAGTTACTGCTCATAGTTCCTCTCACCTGCTCCTCAGCCTCATGATTCTGTTCCCCAAGAAAAACGTCCTCCCTTTCCCTTTAGCATGGGTTCTTCACTAACCCTTGGATTACTAGAAGCATTTCCTTTGCCATCCTCTCTCCCTGGCTGGGCTCAGGCCTCCACTAACTGTCTGTGTTTCCAATCCACTCCATACCACACTCTCTATACTGCCTCTCTTTATGTCCCTCACCCCAGACATGCAGTGTTCCATATGGTTAGTACAGGGTCTGGCCCATTCTCTAGGCCCAGGAAGGAGATGCTGATGAATGAATGGGTGGATGGATGAATGCTTCCTTTCTGAGTATTCCCCATCTTCCACTGAAAGACAGGTAGCAGTGGCATGTGGGTAGGATGGGAAGGATATTGGCTCATGCAGGTGAATGAAGGCAGGCCTGATCTCTTACCTCATATAGGCAGCATTGCAGGATGACAATCAGAGTGAGAGTGACTGCATGCAGGCTGAAGAAGACATCATTAATGTCCACAGGGTTCACGCCATTGGGGTGTTTCTGGAGAAACTGCTCCTGTTAGGGGGAAGGAAGATGGGAGGTGACGGCAGCTTGGCTACCAAGTGGCTCTGGTGGACTGTGGGGCCTGGGCAGTACTGTACCTGGATATAGGGCACCCACAGGAGGCCAATGTTGAACACGCTGTAGGCCACAAAGCCCGTCAGGTTCAGGGCCAAGAAGTCAAAGCTCAGGCCAATGACACTGTGGGCAGGGGACAGAGGAATGAAATAGGGCAAAGATGAGGCTAGGGACCACTGGGAAGGGAGGAGACAGAGCTCCTGGCACATAGGGAAGAGCACTGTCCTTAGGTCTTACTGCACAACTGGTATCAGCCAACCACACCCCTCCCCCCTTTTTACTTTTTGCTAGTCCTGGGGCTTGAACTCGGGGTCTGGGTACAGTTCCTGAGCCTCTCTATGCTCAAGGCTAGCGCTCTACCACTTGAGCCACAGCACCACTTCCGGCTTTTTTCTTTTTGCTTATGTGGTGCTGAGGAATCGAACCCAGGGCCTCATACATGCAAGGCAAGCACTCTACCACTGAGCCACTTTCTCAGCCCCAATTCCTGAGCTTTTTGCTCAAGGCTAGTGCTCTATCACTTGAGCTGCAGCTTGACTTTTGGCTTTTTGGTAGTTATTTGGAGGTAAGAGTCTCAAGGATTTTTTTTTGCCTGGGCTGGCTTGAAACCATGATCCTCAGATTGCAGACTCTTTTTTTTTTTTGCTGGTTGTGGAGCTTGAACTCTGGGCCTGGGCACTGTTCTGAGCTCTTCAGCTCAAGGCTAGCACTCTACCATTGAGCCATAGCACCCAATTCCAGCTTTTTCTGTGTATGTGGTGCTGAGGAATCGAACCCAGGGCCTCATGCATGCAAGGCAAGCACTCTACCACTGAACCACCTTCCCAGCCTCGCAGACTCTTAAGTAGCTAGAATTACAGGTGTAAGACACCATTTCCCTGCCAACCATGCCTTTTTTTTTTTTGCCAGTCCTGGGGCTTGAACTCAGGGCTGGGCACTGTTCCTGAGCCTCTCTATGCTCAAGGCTAGCACTCTACCACTTGAGCCACAGTACCACTTCTAACCTTTTCTATGTATGTATACTGAGGAATTGAACCCAGAGCTTCATGAACGCTAGGCAAGCAGTCTACCACAAGCCACATTCCCAGCCTCCAACCATACCTCTTAAGACCCAGTTTGTTCTTTCTCTCTCCCTCCAAATATTGCTCCTAGAGGCTTCTTTCAGGAAGGCAGCATCTACCGCACAAAGTACCCTAAAAGGCCAGAGTGTCTATGAAGCACCTATACTCTGTCTATAAAATCACAGTGAGTGGCTCAGTGTCCAGGGCTGAGGGCTGTATGACAGAATACCCAAGTCTTACAGGGCTAAAACTGGGGTTCACCCAGTCCATTCTTTGCTTAGTGAAGAAGAGTCATGTCACTGCTTCCACAGAATGGGGTTGAACTGGGTGAGGCCCAGCACTGAAGTCCTATCTCGATTCCTGTAGAGATTTCTTATAGGGACAGCTTTTGCAAAAGGGCAGGAAAGATGCCCATCATACCACCCCACTTGAGCCTGCTGCAGGTCTGGCTCAGCAGGTTACCTTTTCCGTCTCCAGTTCTTGATCACCTGAGGGTAGAAGGAGATGGACCAGGCCACAAAGTAGATCCAGCCAATCATCTGGTTTATGATGCTAATAGCACTGCTGTGGATCACTAAGAAGAGTATTCTTGGGCTAGAATGGAGTTGGGAATGGGATAAGCTGAGGCTAGTTTTCTGAAGGAAACCCCAGTGTATCTGTGCTCAGCACAGCCTCCCTTCCCATCATGTGTGGTCCACACACGCAGGGGCACAGGCCAGCCTACCTGGTCTGGTTGGAATGATTTCCATGCAGATGAACTGTCACTTGTCCAACATTTTGAGATGTCACTTGGAAAGAAGAATAAGTCACTCCGGGAGGCACTACAACCTGTTAAGAAGACTCAATTTGATCTGAGGCCATATGTAATTATTGACCATCTATCAAAACAAGTGCCTTGCTCCAGGCTGAGAACATAGCACACATGGTCCCTGCCTTCCAAGAGCTTCCTAACCAAAGGCAGTATTGGGCTAGCCAACCAACTGGACCCCTGCTCCCCAGCTCTTCTCTCTTTGGCTTTCCATTCAGTATTGCAGTCTCGTACTCAGGCCCTCCCCTAGCTAATGGACATTGGGCAGGAGTGTGGGATGGCCCTCTTTCTCTTACTAGCTATTTGATCTCTGTTCATCTGTAAACTTTAGGGAACAACAAAACATCAAGCATTGACTTCAACAGGGTCACTAACAATGATACAACTTCCGTCAAGCTTACAGAACAGACCTGGCACATGTCACAAATGTACTATATCTGTATCATTGCTACTTTCATCATTATTGGGTTCCTCCATTCCCATGAAGGATATCTACCATGCACTGCCTGGCTACAACATGGAAAAACAGAAAGGTGAACAAATATGTGGTAAGGACAATGTTCTCATCCTTATTTTCATCAAATATTTATCTAGTCTTGCTCTAGGAAAACAGGTTTTGAAGCCCGCCTATGGCGTCACATTCTGAAATCATTCCTTCTGATACAAATCCATGTAGAGCAACAAAGATGGTATCTTTATTGAACCAAACTGTCTCCTGCCCTCAATGGCTATTGGTCCCTGGATAATACTCTGGGTGCCACTCTCAACCTATCAGATCACTTGTGTCTATGAGGATATAGCTCATAGATAGCAGTGGTTTCTTTTTTTCTTTTGAAGCAGGCTCTCATTATGCAGCTCAGGCTAACCTGGAGTTCACTATGTAGCCCAGGGTGGCCTCAAATTCCAGACCTCCTGCTTTTACCTACTGATTGCTAAGATTACAAGCTGTACCATCATGCCAGGCTAACAGTGGCTTCTCAATGAGAATCCTTCAGGCATTTAGTTTTTGGTCTTAAGCCCCAGAAAATGGGGGGCTTTGGCAATGGAAATGAAGTCCAACTTGTGGTCTGTGTCTTGCAAGCCACTTTTTTTTTTTAATATTTGAGTTTGAATTCAGAGCATTTCATTTGCTAGGCAAGCAGTCTATAAGCCATACCTCCAACTCTTTGCGCCTCCCCCCTGCCGTGTGTGTGTGTGTGTGTGTGTGTGTGTGTGCGCGCGCGCGTGTGTGTGTTAGTACTAGGTATTAGAATTTGAACTCAGGGCCCCAATGCTTGCTAAGCAGGTGCTCTATTGCTTGAACCATTCTACTACTCCCTTTTTGCATTGGTTATTTTCAAATAGGGTCTTGCTCCATGCTTGGGGAGTCTGGGCTGTGACCCTCCCATCTTTGCTTCCCTGTAGCTTGGGATGATAGGTATATGCTATCACACCTACACACTGGTTAAGGTGGTCTCAAGAACTTTTCTGCCCAGGCAGGCCTCGAACAGAAATCCCTAAATTTCCACCTCTCAGGTATCTAGAACTACAGACTTGAGCCACCATGCTTGGCTAGTAATTTTTTGGATATTGGTTAGCTTTGGACCATGAACTGCCCATGGATTACAGGCATGCCACCACGACTGACCTGGAAGTTACATTTTGGTGATATGCTATCATTTTTGGCTCTTTTCTTTTCTTATCACCTCATTTTCCCCCCTCTTACACAGAGTTTGTTTGCAATATTGTATATGGCCACTAAATCCCTAAACAGAGTTTGCTTGCAATTTTGTATATGGCCACTAAATCCCTTTGGAGCAAGGCAGGAACAAATGGACCAACCAGATATTGACCAGAACAAGGTACAATGAAATGATAATGATCACTGCCTTTACTGAGTGCTCCCTACCTGCCAGGTACAACCTCAGACACTTTAGATTTGCCTCTACTGCTTTTAATTCTCACAGGGCAGCCAAGGAGACATTACCTAGACAAATGAGGAAATATTGTGTTGGGCTGAAGTATATTACCAGGGCTTACAGGCAAGGCCAGGCTCATGAACCACTTGACTCTCTGATTCACAAATAAAGTAAGGGGGCTGGGAAGGTGGCTCAGTGGTAGAGCGCTTGCCTTGCATGCATGAGGCTCGGGGTTCGATCCCTCAGCACCACATAAGCAAAAAGAAAAAGCCGGAAGTGGCACTGTGGCTCAAGTGGTAGAGCGCTAGCCTTGAGCTGAAGAGCTGAGGGACAGTGCCCAGGCC